TGCTACAAGGACTTGTTTGAGGACTCTACCTTTGCACTTGAAATAGGAAAAAGGGAAGAGAAGGTGCAGTATGAGTATTAGACAAGGAGAGCCAGGACCAAGTGTATCTTCAGTTATTGACACTGGTTTCATCGCACTCTATTATTAAGCACAACCTAATGGCATGTCTTCACTCACTGTTTATCCTTATTGCTAAAGGAAGAAAGAGCCTTGTGAATGATGTCCACAGGTTCTGTCAACTAAATTTGCATTAACATTTATTATGCTATATCAAACTGGCCTATATTTAAGGTTTCACATTATCCAGATTGTACTTTATTATCTCACATCTCACCATCTATTTGAATGCATTATAAATTTCATTGCAGTAGATTCATCAATACAAGAATATGCAAATAAACCAGATGTGTGGTTTTTTTTTTTTAAAAAAACTTTCTTCCCAGTGTTTGGGAGGCAGAGGAAGGTGTATCTCTGTGAATTTGAGCCCAATAGGATCTACAGAGTGAATCTGAATACAGCCAGAGCTGTATAGTGATACCCAGTCTTGAAAAATTACAAAAATTTAGCAAGTACATGCTCTTCTTTTAAAAGAAATGTTTAGGAATTTAATGTTCTTCTAATGCTATTATTTGTTAGTTACATATTACTGTTTCTTGTCATATTTTGTACAGATTAATAGTGTTGGCAATTCTTCTGTATTACCAGTTAAGCCTTTACTGTGTGAAGAAAATAATTCATATTTCTTGTGACATCATAAACATCATGTCCATCTTGTCCTTCTGAAATCAAACTTGAGTTAGGACAATTTCCTGTCAGGTCAGACTATGGTGAGAATACTGCAGTTAACTAAAAGCTCAGAAGCACTGGAGCTTGATATTTCCTATGACATAAACCTTTATGTCAAAGTGAAAAGTTATTTTTAAAAAGATTTATATATCTATCTTTATTTTGTGTGCATGAGTATTTTTGCCTGCGTGTAACTGAGTTCTTTGAGAATGCAGTGCCTGCAGAGGCCACTAGAGGATGAGAGAACCAATGGAATTGGAGTTACAGGCAGTTGTAAGGCACCATGTGGGTGCAGGGACCCAACAGAGAAGCCTTACAGTGACAGCTCATTTTCCTTACACTGAGCAACTTCTAGTCCCCTCAAATGTAAACATATTAAAGCCAAAACATACAACAGAATAGCAATATGGTGAACAAAAATCAATCACATGAGGAACACAAACTGCATAGAATTCTGGAACAGCTCTGAGACCGTCCAACACGTCTTGTTAGCATTGACTGAGATGGCCTTGCATGTGCCAAACTAGCCATGGTCTAGTCCCAATATCTACTTTGCCTAAAGCATCTTTAGTCTTTAAAGAGGCACATGCTCTTTGTGATTCTAAGTTCAGTTCTTGACAGTGGAAATAATATTACTGTGTATATGATACAGTTTTAAACATCAAAGGAGGTGTCAAAGTAAGAGTATAGCAGAGAATCATAAATTGTCATTGCTGTTTTCCACATATACATTAATTATTTTTAACTCACAAAAGTTATATTTTCTATTATACACTTATAGCTAAAAATTTTTAAAAGCTGAATATTTTCATGTGAGAATACTGGATGTGACTACACTGTACATTCAATACTTGTACTTTTTTTTCAATCCTCCCAGATTTGACAAGGTAGTTGCACTGGCATCAATTACCCTGAAATGTCCTGGACTCTCAGTAAGCACAATTCCAGGTATGTAGAACTTTAAAAAGCTTCCAGGGATGTGGAGTTTCATTTGTATCATATTAAATACTGCATATCTTAAGCTATATCACAGTTGGCCCCTGCACTCCAGAGATGTGTACCCCACCCTCATCAGAGGCAAGGATGAAGAAATACTGCAGGCATGGGAATAGGGATTTGATTCTGCCCCACCTGAGGTGGGCGGCCACAGTGATCCAGAATGACCAGCTCAGTTACCAACCGGGCCCAAACCTGGGCAATGAATTCATGAACTCTACTATCTACCTCATTTAGGACATGCTGTAGCTTTTGAAGAGACTGCTCCTATGAAATAATACTCCCAAGATCTCTAACACTCAGGGCAGTGATGCAGTATCCCAGCGGAGTTCCAGTGAGAATCCAGGGTGTACAAGAAAGTAGAGACCAGTGACTCATTGTAATGAACATTTGCTAGTAAAGCTAGAAGGATGAAAGGATATAATATAAGACACATTGAGCCCCCAATGCCTCCCGGATGAACGAAGAGGTGTTGGAACGGTGGAAAAGAAAGAGAAGTTAAAAGGGTTTTTTAATTTGTTTGTTCTTGTTTTGTTTGTCTGCTTGCTTGCTTCCTTGCCTGTTTTATTTTGTTTTTTGGAGGGCTCTGCGGGGATGAAGCAGGAAAGTGAAGGGATGAGAAGTTGAACAGAATTGGGGTGAACAGTGTGAAACTCAGAGAGAATCAATAAAGAAGTTAAAATTAAAAATTATATCATATTTCCTATGTGTGTGATCATCATCAGAAGAAGCAAAAACATCAACAAAGAACATGTTTGTGATACTGTTCTGGTGAACTTTTCAGTGATCTTGTCTTTCAGTGAGCATCAGTGTTGACAGAAATTAGAAAATGTTTGTTGCAATATCAGTCTCAAGCTGTGATTCCACGAGTTTCATGTGCAGACACCAGATGCCATTCCTCCAACAACCTTAAATCAAACAAAATATCTTTTTTCTTTGAGTATTGTACATTTTCAAATAAGAAAACAAAACTCATGCCCATACATCTCATGGGAATGTCACAAGGGAAATATCACTTGGAACCCAACAGATGAAGCACAAAACAATACTGTAAGATTTTATGGACCTACTGATATGCAGAATTCTTTCCTGTGTCTGTCTCTATTGATTCATTGATCAAAAACTATAACTGGGCTAATGTGGGTGGTCTTCAGGTTTAAGTATCCAAGGCTATTTGTGGATTATAAACACCACTTTTCTTTGATGATACAAAGAAATTTATTTTGGTTCTCATTCTTTGGACAGGCTTTGTTGCCATGTAGGTTGTTTTGTTGTATAAGTTTCCCATAAGTAGATGTGACCAGTTTTCCTGAGTGTTTATATTGACATTCACAGGCATTACCAGTTCATGAGGTTCTTGGTTTATTTAGAATTATACCTAACTTTGGTGTTGTCAACTATATTTTTCTTTATATTTGCTATTTTAATTAACTTTTGTATTTTGGTTACTAATTTTTAATTAGATTAAAGTAGCAGGTTTCTTTCAGGCTTTTTTCTATTTAGTATTTGGATAGAAACAAACCCACTTTTTTCCCATCTATCCACCCAAATACAGTATTTGTGGACCAGACATTTTTCTTCTATGCTCTTATCCTGTGTATATTCTCATCTTTACTGGCCTCTCACAGAGGCTCTTTTAATCCTCTTATGCACCACATAACACCTTTTGTGGCCGCCACACACAGTAACTCCCACATAATCACATATTTAAAAATGATAAACTAGAGCCGGGCGGTGGTGGCGCACGCCTTTAATCCCAGCACTCGGGAGGCAGAGCCAGGCGGATCTCTGTGAGTTCGAGGCCAGCCTGGTATGCTGCAAAACGAAAAAAAAAAAAAAAAAAAAAAAAAAAAAAAAAAAAAAAAAAAAAAAAATGATAAACTAAGAAACAACATTGAGACACAATGTACACTACTTAGCTTCTCAGACTGTATTATACCACTTACTAGAATACTTTTAATTTTCTGATACATCCATTGTCTTGGGAGTTTCCCTGACCCAATGCATTGATAAAGGGAAACTGCTACTATCTGGTAGTTCCTAAGTTCTCAGCTCCTCTATGCACTTTGTTTTAACTTCTTCAGTTTTCATGATTCACTAGCAATTCTTTCCCAGTTCCTGATTGTACTGCTGAATATCCAGCTAACTGTCTTTGTTTAGCAAATTAGTAAGTGGAGCAATGTCTCCCTTCCTGAGGCTTCTTGGTTCAGCCTGATACTGATTCACAGCTGCCTCTGCCTATTACTTCAAGGGGATCTCACCCTACTAAAGAGGGCTACAGATATAGTCTCCTACAGGAAGAGTATTGCATCCTCAGAGTCTCCTCCCACTGCAATGATGAGATGTTTAACAGACTTCATTCTTTACTACCATTTCCACTCTAGACTTCTGTCTGGTGCCTGATTATCCCAGACACAGTTTAAATAGAGACAATAAACATTTCCCACTGGTTATCATTCTTCACATAGTGATCATATCCTTGTTATTCCTGCTGACTTATTTTGTCTATTATTGTTCTTTTGACCATTTTATGGAATTTCATCCCATTGGAGGTCTCCAATGCTCTAACAACCATAACCTGACATTGCACATGTGTTTGTCTATTTGGTGCGACTTTTCATAAGAGCTAGCTCTTAACTTAGTAAGATAAAAGCTTTCACTTTACCCATAATGAGAATACATTTTATGCTCTTAACAAAATTGTTGTGCGTAGCTATAGATATATTCTGACTGATATTATAAATTTTTCATTAATCATCTTTTAATTTTAGATAAGGTATTCTTTTATAATTGATGTTCTTGAGTTTGGTAATGGTTATTAAAATTGTCTTCATTTATACTAAGTCTAGAAATTATCAGTATATTTTTAGTGTGTTATGTTTTCATTGATTGTATTGCCTCTCAGTTTCTATTGCTTCTCACAGGTCATATATCCTTACTCATAATGCTGCCTACTCTGTGATTAAGAAGGCACATCTTCCATACACATGTGTGTGCTGAGGCCTTTAGACATCTCAGATTAGTACGCATCATAAGTAATAATTTTCCCGGGCATTAACTTTGAGAAATTCTAGTTATGTAGTCTAGGCTGAGATGTAACTCCTGAGCTCTAAGAAACATTCTAATTTTGTCCCTCTGTATCTCTTTGGAGTACTAATATTTACATTCATTTTAACCAGCAAAATGGCTTTGGCCATTATCTAAAGAAAATTATACCCAATCACAGAATGGACTTCTGGAATATGACCTTCAAAATCATTTTCTTATCACAAACTACAGCTGGAATTCTGGGAAATTTCTCTCTCCTTTACTACTTTCAAGTTCATTATGGAGAAAGCAAATTAAAGCCAACAGATTTGATACACATGCACTTAATGGCAGCCAACACTTTGATCATTCTCTCTACAGGAGTGCCTACCACAATCACAGCTTTTGGGTTGAAGCACTTTTTAAGCAATTCTGCATGCAGATTAATTCTGTACATTCAAAGAGTTGGCCGGAGTGTGTCCATTGGCACCACCTGCCTCTTGAGTGTCTTCCAAGTCATCACCATCAGTCACAAGGAATACTGCTGTAAGGATCCAAAAGTCAAAACTTCAAAGTACATTGGCTGCTCCATTCCCCTCCTCTGGGTTTTGTACATGTTGATAAATGTCATTTTCTTTTTGTACCCACTTACTGAAAGTAAAAATCTGACAAGAAAACAAGATTTTGAATACTGTTCCACTGCAGGGAGGGATGAAATCAATGACTCACTCTATTCAGCACTACTAATGTGCCCTGAAATCTTCTTTTCTTTGCTCATGACCTGGTCCAGTGGCTCCATGGTTGTCATCCTGTACAGACACAAACAGAGGATTCAACACATCCGTAGCACTCGTGGTTCCAATAGAATCTGCTTTGAGTCCAAAGCCACCAAGAGCATCCTGGCCCTGGTATCTATCTTCCTGTCTTTTTGTACTCTCTCCTCCATCTTACAAGGCTGTGTTGCTCTTTTGTATAATCACAGTTGGTGGCTGGTGAACATCAACTGCCTCATTTCTCTGGGTTTTCCCTGTTTTGCACCACTTGTTCTTATAAATCGTTACTCTGTGGTTCCTAGATTCAGTTTGGTTTGGATAAGGAATAAAATCTCTAATTCTTATTTTAAGTATGTAAATGATACGTTTTTTTTGTTGTTGTTGTATCCAGGTGTTTACTTTACCATCTCCCTCAGAATGTCAGTACAGAAACTGAAAGAGTTGGTGTCTTGTCCTTTAATAATTGACCAAAATGATAAATTGGGAGTTTTGTCAGTTGGTTTAATTTGAAGCCTATATGAGCTCATCTCATTGTAAGTGGACTAGGTCACTTTTCAACTTACCCTGCAAGGCATCCCTTTGTCCTGCTGATGTACATCAGAGCTAGCAAAATGCTCTCAATAGAGGTGGCTTTCTTCCCACTATCATTTTCTAGGACACCCTGAGTGCTTAGAGTTTTCACAGCTTATGGGTCCTACAGTCTAATGGCAAAGAAAAATGACACCATGGCTGGTCCATTCACAACAGCCCTAGCTTGCACCAGCACCAGAAAATTTCTTCAACCATAACTTCTCAAATATCCTGCTGTTAGATGCACTAGAGACAATCAGGTTGGTTTGCAAAGCTTGCAGCAATAGTCCTCAACAAGGTCTCAGAAAGAGCATCTTACATTACCACTTAATGAAATATATAATCAATGGAAATGACTGATGTTTTTAATGTTATCTTGAATTTTATATGTGAACATGTTTTAGAAATTTTTCATCTATGTTCATCAGGGAGATTAGTCTGTAAATTTCCTTTATTAATATCTAGTTTGAAATCACTGCAATGAAAAATTAATCAATATTTTGGAAGTCAATTCATAGTAAATTATGGAAATCAGTTTGGAGGCTCCTAAGAAAACTAAAAAAGAACTAATATGTGACACAGCTATTCCTCTCTTGGGCCTATACCCAGAGAACCCCATATACTTCCACAGAGATATATCCAAATCCATTTTTATTGCTGCTCTATTTACTATAACAAGGAAATGAAGTCCAACTTTATATCCATAAACAGATAAATCTATATCAGATTTGCTTTCATACACAAAATGGACTATTATTCGACTACAGGGATAGAAGAAATCACAAAAAGTGTAGTAAAGTTGATGTACTTACAATGAATAGTATTAAACCAGGTAACACCAACTCAGAAAAAAAATCAAATCCTTTCACTTGTATGAAGATCTTATGCCATAAGGTTCAAATGTTTATATGTAGGTAGATATGTTTAACTTTATTATGACACTTAGAAAGGAGACTCAAAATAGTAATGTCAGGCAAAGTAGCAGTAAGTTAGTTTTTTGAGAGTATATCAAGTTAGTTATTCTTCTGTCTTCAACTCTGCCAATTTTTTATTCTGCAGTTGATAAGGGCATAAAAACATACTTGTTAGTGACAGTGTAATACCCTAAGCAAAGATCAATTGCTACAGCATAGTTCTTTTAACTGTATAGAACTAAATTGAAATATAATGAAATTGAGTCTGGGCAAGTTTTCATTTGTGTGGCTATTCATTGGAGGGCTTTTGTGCTTTTATTCATGAAATCATTACAATACAGTGATTTTAGTTTAAAATAAAATGGTATCACAACTTATCCAAAGTTATAGGGATGGCTTAGTTATAGTCATCAGTAAATGCAGTTCACCACACAGATGGACTGAAAGCCAGAAATCACAAGAATGACATATTTGATACCACAAAATATTCTTTTTTTTATTTTATTGAAAATAGTTTCTTTTCTTATACAATATATCGTGATTAGAACTTCTCCCAGTTCCTTCCACCTCCCTTCCTAATCATATCCACTTCCTTTCTGTCATTAGAAATACAGGCTTCTGATATATAACATGAACATGATAAGAAAAATATGAGATAAAATAAATCTGATCAAGGTTGGACAAAACAAACCTGCTCATTCATATACTCAGGAGGCCCATAAAAATATTAAATGGAAAGCTATAATATATAGGCAAAGGACTAGATGACAATGTGTGCAGTCCCTGTGCTTATGACTTCAATCTCCATGATTCCATGGGATCTCTCCTCAGTTGATTCAGAGGGCCTTGTTGTCCTGATATTTTCCATCCTCTCTGGCTCTTGCAGTCTTTCTGCCTCCTCTCCTATGGTGTTGTCTGTTCTCTGCAGGGTTGGATTTGATGGAAACATCCACTTTGCCAGCCCTAATGTCAGAAATACTTTAATAAACTCCAGCATTCTTTCCCCATAAATGCCATGGAGTGTCAAGAGATACAGGGATAATACCTCAACATAATAAAGGTTGCATACAATAAACCTATAGCCAAGGGTAAGGAACCAATAATATTATACACGGGAGTTACATGCTTACTAACCACCTCGAGTTATGTTTAACTTGCAAAAAAGTTCCACAATTTTTTTTTAAAGTGCCATAGTTGGGTTACATTCCATAATACCCAAGTCTTTGGAAAGCATTTTCTTTTTTCTTTTCTTTTCTTTTCTTTTCTTTGTTTTTTTCAGGTGGGGTTTCTCTGTGTAGTTTTGGTTCCTGCCCTGGATCTCGCTCTGTAGACCAGAATGTCCTAACTTCACAGAGATCTGCCTGGCTCTGCCTCCTGAGTGCTGGATAAAGGGTGTGTGCTGTCACCACCTGGCTGGAAAGCATTTTATATTGAGCCATAACAATAAAAGGAATAAGTTGGGTGAACGATAAAGATATGGGGAGGGAAGGTAAATGAGCACAAATAAAATGAAGAGAACTAGGGAATATAGGACAATTGTTTGTCTGAGCTGTATAACAGTGCTCCAAAAATGACAAAGACTCTAGATTATATTAACAAAAAACTACCTTATACTATCTTTCAAATTTTTATACCTTACACCCCTTTAGTGAGTTCCTTTTCTGAAATTCTTAACAATGAAAACTATAACTATAACTGTAAGTATCTAATCTTCAACTTCCTCTGAGACCAAAGAAGAAAATAATATTACCTAATGAAAAAGGAAGTGAAAACAAGTGGCTTCCAAGAAAAATGTGAGTAGACAGAAACAATCAGCTGCCTGGACAGTCACCCTAGGTTTCTCTGCACCATTGGGGCATCATCTTCAGCCTACAGACTTAACATATCTGTCAGACTCATTTGTGAAGCAGTATGTACACAAGGCATAGAGCTGGACCTCACATTTAGTGAGAATCATCCATGTACCCAATCAACCTGAATTCCACCATTGTCCTGTTATGATTCAGGATTTTAAATTCTGGAAATTGTTGGTGTTTTTGGAATTCAGCTGTCTATTCTTCTTGGCTTGTGGGTGTCTTCATCTTGGCATCCTATTCTTCTCTGCTTGTGGCTGCCTTCATCTCTTTAATCAACACCAGTCTACCATTTAGAGGTTAGACTCCTCCAGCCTAGTTACTCTTTCAACAATAACTGTTTCAGCTACTGTTCCACTGTGCACCAGAAACCATCAGTCCACTGCCTGTTCAGCTGCCTTCAAAGAAAGGGGCACTGTACATTTTCCAGATTTCAAAGCCACTTCAGTGATGGTGCCATATTGTCCTGGCCTCAGAGGATACCTGTTGCTAATGCCACAACTAAACTTATTTTGATAAGAATCAGCAGTCCTTTGTGTTGTGTCCTGTTTGTTCATTTTGGTTAGCATACTGTCAGAAGTCAATGATTTCAAGGGCACTTTGTTGCCCAGTGGCTATCTTTTGCCACAATGAAATTTAGCTCCCTATAGAGTTTCTTCAATACCCATATCTTCTCTGAAGTAGATTGGTGCCGCCAGGAGTTGACATGTCTCATAGACATAAAAAAAAGGAAAAAAATCTAAGTTATTAAGACATTTTAAATGCCATACTCTGTAGATCTCTGAAGGGTTTGAAGATGACCTGTCTGTCTAAAATACATCTGGTTAACCTTGAAAACATCTAATGTGACTAAAAGTTCAATTGTAATGTCTAACTATAAACTTTTATTTCTTTATATCCTCATATTTGGTTATAATAATATTCAAGGATTAGCAAATTGCATTATATTGTTAAATGAACTGTATAAGTACAACATCCTGAACAAGATTAGAAATATACATACAGCATTTTCTAACAATTTCCATCTCAATATATGTAATATTTATACAATATATAACAATCCAAACCAATGTAAAGTATTAAAAAAGTAATTGTCTTTTAAAAGTAGATTCAATAATCTACCTTTTTAATCTATATCATATCTACATCCTCTCTTTTTTTCTTTTCATTGTAGATTCAATAATCTACCCTTTATACTATCACGTCTATATCTGTTTTTTTTTCAGACAAGAACCTTAAATCTAATCTCCTTTGTTTAGCCCTTTTCCTAAGCATTAACAAAACCAGCTTGTAAGCAACACTCCTAAACAATGACAACTATCCCAAACCCATCCCCCCCCCCATTAAAAGACCAAAAACCACCTGCCCCACACCACCTCTTTGGGAATGTGGATGTCATGTTCTTAAAATTGCTTCCTGCTGGTTGTTGGGTGAAAGCAGCTTTAGAAGATTCTGAAAAGATAAAAAGGGTTAATTGTCAAGTCCTAGGAAATGTAGCTATATCATATGTTGTCCAGTTTCTACATAATGTCAAAGGTCAGGGATTTTCTCAAGTCTGTGAAACTGAATCAGTCAGTCATGTCAAAATTGTTCTGAGCAGTTTGTAGTCCAAAGATGAGTTTTGGGTTTGTCAGGTTAGTGGTATTATTATTGTTCACATGGAATCCTTGTTGTTGGGCCCCATCATCGTTATGGAGACTTCAAGTTCACTTTTAGGCCTCTTCATGATTCCCTGCAGAAAACTGATAGAGACTCAAACACAAAAACCTGTATAAGCAGCTAATTGAAGCCTTTTCTAGAATTAGTACTCTATATGACAATATCATAATATAAGTTTAATATATATGTATATATTATTCTTCTAAGTTTGATATAAAATTCATACCTTAAGAAAAGTTTAAAGAATCAAAATAGAATCAAAGAATTTAGATTAGTGGCAATAGAACAGTTCCTTAATTTTTTCATTTTATTCTGTCCCATATCAGAAAATGTCTTTTTCTTCTGGCAGGATACAGAGATTTTGCATTTTCCTTTTAACAACATGCTTGGGTTTAAAGAAGGAGAGAGCTATTCTCCAACTCCAATGCCAGCTTTACTTTTAAATTGAACTAGGACTACAAAAAGACAATTTGTGTTAATTGTCTGTAGAGTAGAGCAGAAACAAACATTTAGG